TTTTTTTTAGAAATTATTTATATAGCAACATGTTACCAAAAAATTTGTAATATTATAGTCTAGTAGTAGCACACACAAATAAAGTAAAAAATTAATTAAATTACAAAGTAAAATGATTTAATTTTGTAGTTGAAACCTATCAGATCAAACTTGATTCGTCAATAAATACTTAGAAAACATTAGAAATTAATGATTTTAATTGTTTGTATGGAGGAAATGGAATAACTAACTGTTTAATTGGTAAATTAAAATTTTTTTTCAATTTTTGAGGGTATTATCTTTAACCTAGATACGAATTGTAGTCATTTGACGTATCGTTGAAAAAAATAAATAAAAAAACCCAGCACAGGGGGGTCGTGGCACAGTGGTGATGTGGCATAGTTAGATTTAGTATAATGATATCAGACAGTGATTAAAATCACTATCATAAGAAACGCTTCGATGCAAATCTGTAGATAGTGTTTCCTTTAGAGAAATTGGCGGAATATTCTAAGAGCAACATCAACTCTTATTTCTTTAATTATATCCTGATTAGTAGTTCTTTGATTTTAAAATATAATATATATATACCCTCGTACTCATATCCCGAGAGAAAATTATATTATATCATTTTCTTTATTCAATAAATATAACAGTAACTCAATTATTTTCATGCTCATATAATACCAAGAAATATAAATAATTTTAATAAATTATCCTTTAATTATCACTAAAAAACTTCTTAATAATTTTCTCCTTTTATTTTGAGTTACTATACACAACTAAATCTAAGGCTTCTGACTTATTCTGTTTATTTTCTAAATCAGCAACAAAATAAACAATATCTTGAAGTAATTTTGTTACCGCAATGAAAGTTAGAAGATCTTATGTATTAATTTATTTTAATAATAGAAATACATACATTAATTATAACAATTAATTAAAAATGGTTACATTTTATTTTGCTGGAATAGCTATATATAAAATAATATACATTTTCAAATAACTTTTCACAAATTTTAAAATACTGTGAAATATATCACAAAGGAACTTCATAAAGTTTGTTTAGCATAAAAAAGTACTAAGTTTAAATTATATATTCCATACCTTTTTATTTAAACCAAAAAGAGTATCTAAACAAAATCAATGATAGATAGATTTTTTTTTCATACTGATTTTAGCTAAATTCACAATAGAAGACTTGGAGGCAATAATGAGACATATCAATTTTTTAGAGTTATTCGGGTAATAAAAAATACATTCTAGTATCTAAAAAATCTATTTTATACTTAAATAAAGAATTCCATATAAGTTTTAGGATAAATATAACTAATGAACTTACAATAATGCTTACTTAGTAGTAATAAATTAAGGAAACACTAAAATATTATTCAGACATGTGTTGTTGTTGCACCATCCATTTAATACTACACATTTATATAAAAAAAAAACCCAGCACAGGGGGATCGCAACACAGTGGTGACGTGGCATAGTTGGATCTTGTATAATGATATCTGAAAGTGATTAAAATCACTATCACAATAAACGTTTCGATGCAAATCTTTAGATAGTGTTCAATTTTAAAAAATTGATGGATTATTGTTGTGGATAAGCAGCATCAGTTTTCTATTGAATTTCTCAATTTTTTTCGCTTCTCGTCTCTCCGGTATACACGACTCTACGCTCTTCTTCCTCATCTTCAAGTCGATTTTGTGTCCGTTGAATTCGCATCCGATCGACGAGAACTGCTCTTCCGGTCTAGGCGTTTTGGTTTCGTCGGGTTCCGTGTACTTACACGTCCGTTTGCAACATTTTCTATTCCTTTTTTTTTTTGTCTCCGCAATGTTTTGATTTCTCAACATTGGCATCTTCGCGTATCCGCAACGGCCCGGACCACACGGGACCCGCGGTTCTCAACCGAACCATACGACAGCCGCTAAGCGCATGTCTTCCGCTGTTACGTCCACGTCTATCTCGATTTTGGAAATCCCTCCAGAAGTGCCTCTCTGTACGGATTTGAATTCCGGCACGTCCACTTTGGCCGTCCCGACGATCTCGGTACTCGGCAAAGTATCCGCACCTGACAATCGTCGCAATACGATTGTCAGGAAATCGCGGTGGTCGCAGAAACGTGAACATTCGGCCTTCGTGTACGGGCAACGGTTCTCGAACATAGCTGGGTCCCGGAATATCTCGCATAACATCTGTTCCGAATAGTCTAAGAACTGTAAGCCGGCGAGTATCGTCGTCCCGGTTTGCGTAGGTTATTGTTTTTACCACTATGTCCAAAAAAAAAAACAGTTTCTCTGCCGATAGCGATGGTAAATCGTGAACGATTGTGCCATCCGTAGGAATTTTAGTTGAAAATATTAATCGATTTTTACTTAAATTTATTTTTAGACAAAATAAACAAGCGTCTCGTTGGGAACTGTGTACAGTTAACCTCAATGAAAGTAGATTGCACTGATATCAATTTCAAGTAAGACGAGAAACAATCGAATTACTTTTTATTCAGAAAATAAATAATATGCACCGCGTGCTTTGTAACGTCTTTTGCCTTTAATATTTCGTGCGATGAAATATATTCTTCTAAGATGTTTTCTTAATCTGTCACAACTCACAAATATGCAGACTCGTGTTCATGTCATAATTGAATTATTCTATCAATGATAATTATGCAAAAAATATTGTTACAAAATTGTATTACAAATAGTAAAATGTGAACAAATCGTTGTTGTTTATTTTTTAGCTTCGATGCGAAGCTGAGAAGGTATTAATTTTACTATGATGTTTTTTTTTTTGTGTCTGTTACCACTTTTTCTCAGTTCTCACCGAACGGATTCCTTTCAACGATACGTCAAAAGATCACAATTCTTATCTAGTTGAAAACATTAACCTCAAAAATTGATAAAATTTCCATTTCATTTAATGAATAAAAAATTACTTAGCCCACATTCTCAATATAAAATCGTTCATTTTTAATGATTTTATAATATTTATTGTCGGATTACTTTTGATATGATTTTGTAGGTTTCAACTACAAAATAAACTAATTGTAGTTCGTAATATTTTTTAACTTTATTTGTGTGTCTTACTAATAAATATTCCAATTTTTTTTGTAACATGTTGCTATATAAATCATGAATCTAAAAACAATGATTTTTAGTCTCACCTGAATTTAACAAAATATTTTTACAATTATAATCAAAATCTGTAATAATTTAATAACAATTTTTGTGTGTTTATAATTATTTTTTATCGTAATAACTCATTTTAAATGAAATGTTTTTAATTTCTATGTAATTCTTGGTGTTTACATAGATAGTACAATTGAAATATTTAGAAATATTTTCATTATAGTTATATTCTATAGTTTTTTAACTAATTAGTAATAATATCAAAAATTATTTATGATGGAATACATATAATTGAAATTAGCACAAAAAATTTAATAATAAAAATATATTTTTTACTCTAATGAAAATTGTTTGCAGACCACTTATTCACAATTAAAAACAAATGATTATCTAAAAAGTTTTTTGTGAAGCCCTTTTTAAAGGTCAGATTTTAATCACTGTCAGATATCATCTATACTAGACCCAACTATGCCACGTCCGCACTGTGCCGAGACTTCACTGTGCTGGGGTTTTTTTACTTAAAGCTGCTACAATTAGCAAATAAAACAAAATTAGCTTTTTCAACTTACCTTTTAAAAGTATTCCGGAAATACTGACATTTTTATATATATCTTAAATTAAAATAATAATTAATTATTAATTTTCATAGGAACTTCATCTCTCCCTAGGTACATTCTATTTTGGCGGAGGAGAGTGATAGATAAAGAATGATGTAGAGAAGTTTTTCGTAGATTTTTTAATCGAAAATAGAATGTGAGTACATAGCTCTCTCAGAAGAGTGTATTTACTCTTTCTCTTTTTGTTGGTGTTAAAATTTTAGCTAGCCATAAAACATCATAAAACAGGCCACAATCATTTCTACCTAATAAAGAGTGGGTTCATAGGCAAAGGAGGACTTAGCTCTCTCAAAAATATTTAAAAATCGCAAAATAGACATAAATTTAACTGAAAAATTATAAATAAAGTGAGAACAATTGAATGCCGTTTTCTTACTTTCTGAACAATATAAATAGTTCGTATTTAATTGTACATACAAACTTTTTTTAATTTATATTTAATTACATAATCTTAGGGTTTTTAGTGCACTAGTCCCAAAACCTACTTATAAATGTTAACTTTTAAATTTCATACGTACATGATTAACTAACTTATTTATTAGATAATGTTCTAATTAAGAATATGGTTGGTCAATAACAACTGTGATCCAGTATTTTAGAAGTTATTATCATTTTTATATTTAGGTGGCAGGATGAGTACGGAAGGAGCAGAGAAATGTGTTAAAAAATAACAGCACCCACGTCTAACCATCAGTTATTACTTTTAATTATTAATAATTTTTAAAATATTGATCGGAAGTATTTTTTTTTTGGGGGGGATGCAGGAAGTTCAACGGATTTTCCCAAGTTGACAAATACTTGCCTGGCTATATTCATCCTCACAACTAAATACAGAACAAATAATGTTAATCAATAATTTTTCAATAATTTGAAATGATTATGTACTACGTGTAACAAAGTTTTAAACTTTTTATTTTTCAACTATTGTATTAATCTTTTTTAAAACAGCACTTGAAATGACTTATAATTCAAAATATATATTTTTGAGTATTCAAAGGGTTTTTGATGAAACATAATTTTTAAATAAAAAACAATTAAAATTTTTTTAATTACCCACTGAAAATTGAAAATATTAAAATTAATGCAAAACATATCGTTAAAAAAATTCTTCATTTTAGTGCATTAATTATAGTAAATTTGTTAAATTAAATTAATTTGTTATCTTAAACGGATTGACTAATTCTTATAATATATATATAATCATAGTATCAATTGTATTTAAATTCTTTATTATATATTTCCATTCAACATAAATTAAATTAATTAAAATAAAATATTATATATTTTTTTTAAACATTTCAAAAACAGACATTTATTTTTATTGAAACAAAATGAACATAAAAATCAATTAAAAACTGTTTGTAACTAAAAAAATTGTTTTTTCAAATCCTGTCATAAAAATTATTTGCAGTTTCATCATTGGATCAATTAAGATAAATTTATTTGTATACTAAGCATTTTTTAATTAAAAGCTACATAGAATAAAATAATAACTAACTTAATTAAAACAATTTTTCTTATTTTTAATATAAAAAACAATAGTGTTTATTATTCAAGCCTATGTGTAAGAACTGGTGGTTCTTCTGTACAATCAAAATTATCATCTTCTTGATTTTCATGATAACGTGTATTTTCCGCAATATATTCGTGTATATGCCTATATTGAAAAATATTTATTATTGATCATTATATATATGTGTGTTAAAATGCTTGAATGGACTGTAATCATAAAATGTCAAAACAGAATGTGATGCACTACCTTGTGAAAATATGCCAAATGTCGTTATAATCTAACTATATGAGTAGCCTACGCTGGTTAAACAAGTAATACTATATGCGTTACGTCGTGTAGCTTAATCTGTGAATATTGTGCAAATACCTCTCAAAATTCATGACCTTCACAAAAGTTTTCTTCAGAGATACTTTTGTCTAGGCGTATGACTCCAATACTGTATATTGCTAGGAATATTCACAAAGTAGTCGTGTTCGGTAAGTGAGGCAAGTGTTGGCGCTATTAACCTAATCAAACGTGGTTTAAACACGGTTAGCACCAATAAAGTTGATTCTAAGAATGCCGGAAAATATTTTGGACAAAGTTTTCCCGAACTTGACTGGATGAAAATTGCGTAAGTTATTATGGCCAGAAGCAGAAACAAGTACAATAAGGAGACCAGTGTAGTGTAGTGGAAAGCATTCGAAAACATTGAGTTTCCTGACTGCTGACGTATAAGGATAAGGACTTAAAGCGAGTTTATGTTTGAAGTTGGCGGACCGAGTGACTTTACAACGATGACTTCGGGTGAGTTGTAATCCATGTTGCTAGTTTAAGATTGGGGTCATTAGAAATTTATTTAACGTCGGATTTAGTGAATGTAGGATTTTTTGTGAAAAGGACTCGCTGAAGATTTAGGACCTTGATTGCTCTTATCAGAATTACACGAATTATCCGTGGATATTTGTGGGATGGAAGTTTGCAAAGTGCTTCTACGACGCAGTGGTGCTGATCACCTTCTTCAGGATTAGGTCTTGATTGCATCCAGAGAAAAGGCGAAATAAATATTAAATAGTAAATATTTTTTAGGTTTAAATTCATATTTTAAAAATATTTTTACTTTTAAATAATAAATATTAATAATCAGTTCTTTATTACATGTATAGAAATATTTAACGAATAAAATAAAATTTTCCTTTAACAACTAATTGATGGAGATATGAAAATAATCTATTTTTTTTTTATTGTAAATAAAATATTTCCTGTGATAAATAAAAAAAAGCTAAATTAACTTATGTTAGTCTAGTTCTGAGGTACAGTTATGATTTTTAGTATAAAAACTTACTCCTTTATATCACCAACGAGCACTTTATTAAATCCCAAATTATAATAACTATCTCTAACTGCTAGCATATAAAACCAATTTAAAACTTTTGTATGGTCGTCAACATCTTCAGAAAATAAAACCTTTTTCATGTTTACAAGTCTCTGAATATGGTTTTGAACTGAATAATCGTAGCTATAAATCCTCAAATCATTTGAAATGCTATGTTCGGGGGGTATTTTTTTGTCTATTCTGTCATAAATAAAATTTCTACAAATTATTAGTACAGAATTAGCATCAAACATATTGTGAATATCAAGTTTTTTTCTTAATGTCCCACGATAAAATGTCCCCATATAATCAAGTATAGTACTGTTATGATATAATTGACCATGATCATGTAGATAATTATTGATATTATATAAGAAATTAGTGACATAATAAAATTTCAGAAACATTTTAGTTGATATCTTTACTGTTTCCTGCAACTTAGTAGAGCAATAAATGAATTTTGGATCCCTCGATTTTCTATATTGGAAACATAACTGAATAAAACTGTTCATTAAATATCTAAATACTTTCAAATTTTCAGTGTATCTAAGAATTATTATATTGAGTAATAATCGTAATTGTTTTAAATGATTATCATTATTAATTTCCAACATAAAATGTTGGTCATTACGAAAATGAAATGTATCTTCATCGAACCTGCAACCATATAACGTCTCTTTCCATCCATCCTGTTGACGAATAGTATTGAACATGTTGATAATAGTTTCAGCATCTAAGGAGAGTTGTATTGAATCTGAATCTAATTTTGAACTTGAACTACAGAAAACCATCAAACATTGATTTAAAATCCAAAAATTACAAAAATTTAAAATGAAGAATCGAAATAACATTTTTTTATAATAAATAAGTAATAATTTGAAGACTAATTAATCTATAAAATAAATTTGTTATTAATAGTATAACGATACTACAGTAATAATAATTGATGATGTAAATCTTCCATTTTATACAATTTTAATACATACAAATGAGTTTTGAGAGAAACACCTGGTTTTCATTTTAGTATTGCAAAAATTATTTATGTATCTAAATTTACACAATTTCGTCATTAAAGAAAATTCAAGGACAACATTTTATATTTTAAAATACGACTTAACTATTAAGACGACTGATTACAAATATGAAATATAAATAAAAATCATAACTTAATTAATTCGATTTTGCATTAAGTACTTTTTACATATTGTAATATAACTATTGTATGGTCTTACATTAAAAAATCCTTTTGATATTAATGATAAAACTATTACTAATAAAGTAGTAGGAAGTGTTAGAAAATTTATTTCTAATACATTCGACAAAAAACATTGGTCGAACTTGATCAAATAAATCATTCCGCGATATATCATTATTTAAATTCAGTTAATGCAGCTTTAGTATAGATCTGACACAAGAAATAATTACTGGCATTGTTAAAGAACATTTAGGTTCCATGTAAAAGAAACTGTATATAACATCAATAGGGTCCATGTTACTGGTTGATCTCTTAATATAGCAAACATATTAGACAACAGAACTAAAGGAAACTAGGATAAAAATGAAAAAAATTGAAGATGAAGTAAACTAAAAAACTATAATGGTAATATTAATTAGCCATTGACGAGGTTGTGTTTCCAAAAATGTTTGATACATTAAAATAATTTCCAGAAGAGAGAAATAAAATGTGGTTCCCAAAATATATAACTAGCCCGTTGAATTTACTATTTATAGAAAAATAATAGTTCTAGTTTTATTATATTTGTCTTAATTTTTTTTTTGATTATCATTTCATATTTTACAACGATCATTAGGTTCACTATAGGCGTGTCAATGAAAGGATGTATATTCGAAATGGACCCTAGTATAATTTTTATAACTATTCAATACTTATAATTAAACATTTTTTTATCATAGCTAACAGCATCTTTGTCAACAAAAATATTTTTTATTATAAAGTTTTTATTTGTATATTGTATAGAAAATTGTATTTTTATTTAAAGAAAAAGAATATTAATTAGTTGTCGAATGAAATTCCTATGTATGTTAGTTGTATTCAATTACAATGAAATATATGTATAAATTACATAGTAAAAAAACTAAAACGCATAAAATTATACGAGAAGTTAAAATTTGTCAAACTAAACGATATGCAAATATAGCNAAGTTAAAATTTGTCAAACTAAACGATATGCACATATAGAATGTGATAGATATTTTTTATAATTTTATTAAAAGCTGATCTAATTTTACCCTGTTTATGCCTTTTTATTATATTGGAACATGAATCGTTAATTTCAACTATTATGAATCATTGATAAAATGACATTAATAATGAAATCATACATTGCTTATTGGTTTAGAGTTCAATCAAGTGTTTTTTTATTGTTCTTGAAGAACAATACTATANGATTGTTCTTGAAGAACAATACAGTAGATTTTATTTCTAAAACCTTAAATAATTTATAATTTACAAATTTTGAACTTTTAACCTTTTTTTAGTTTTTTTTTAAGCAATTTTAAAATTGATATCATTAAATACAACATTTTATGAAGATTT